CTGGAATCGAACTAATGCAGAAAATTCAAGAAATTTCTTAAGGCTAATTCAACAGCTGTTCTTTATCATGTTGTAACGTCATTATCCGAATAAACTGCCACAAGCAAAAGAATATTTCTGTTTCATTATTGTATTAAAAAATAAATGCTTTTATAAAACTTAATTGACTAAAAATGTTCATAGTGTTTTTTGTGCGATGAAACATTAAACATTTCTATATGAATTGAATGGTAACTCATTGTTATATTTTTAATTCTATGGCCTCTCAAAATAAGGTTCAATATGTGAAAAGCTAAGGAAAAAAGCGCTGTAGTTTGGTGAGAGTAGAGGACGATGCTTCTATCCAAAGTAAAAGCAAGGGAACATTAAAAATTTATTATTTAATTATGGTAATCTGAAATATGTAGTGAAATGACCACGTAAAGTTTCACTACGGCAAATTTGATATAAATAAACTGTCGTTCTGATTTGATAAGTATATTTGCAAATTCTCGTATAAATAAAAATTATAAGTGTATAGTAAACAACGTAAACTTAAAAACATTTACATTTTGTCCAAACAGATCAATGACAAATATACACAAAAACTTATTTCACGGACCTGAAACTTTAATTTAATGCTTGTTAAACTAACACCTTGATGTAAGATTGTCATTCATTCAAGTTAAATTTAATTATTTAAAACAATCTTTAATTAATGAAAAAAAAGCTAAAATGATAAAGTATAACTTACAGACATATTACTTGAGCAATGGAATAAACAACTTTCTGGTTTTTCTCTTTGCAATAATCAACTCTTGCCGATAGTTTATTATCTAGCACTAAAAGGTATGTTTTTGATTAGTAAATGTATACATAAAATATGTATTTAAGTTACCATATATTATGAAAATACTTACACCAATTTAAAATATTTCTTAAATCGTTTTCGCGACAATCACTTGGCATACAAATATCGAAACGGAAGTCTATTTTAAGAAAACTATGTTGTTTTAATAAATTCAAAATTGTCAATGGTTTCTGAAAAAGCGCAGAACCAATAAAAAAACAACGGATTACAACTGCGATGACTGACAAAAATTGGCGTACTTTTTTAGTGTTTTTTTTAAATTGTTTATTACTCAGAAGTTTATAAGACTTGTGCAAAATATGATTATGGTAGTAATAAAATATTTCCCAAATAAAAGTTACTTAAAATAAAAAATAATTTGTGTTTATTAATTTCGATAATATGATGGTTTTTCCTTAAGGGGTATGAATTAGGAATGTTTACCCTACATACGAAAGTATAAGTAAAAAGTTTAAGATGTTGATTGATGATGTTAATACTGCTAATCTATACTAATATTTCTTTAATAAACATTTATAATACTGTATTTCAAAAAAATCTTCAGTTTATCTCGTTGTATCTGTTATGAGAAATTAATTTAAAAAGGGATTTATACAGGAATGTGATTCTGTACCAAATTACTGTTCATGTAAGAACTCAATATGTGGAAAAGTTCAACAAATTATAAAACCAGTATATTGTTATAATTATTTTAAATTATTAAATCTCTGATATATGTGAATAGCATTATAATATTGATGAATACAAAAATATTTCTTTAACATAAAAAACTGAATAACGTATTTATAAATTTTTTATATAAAAAGCTCTAATTTTTTTCGATTCTCAAAGGCTAAGCAGGCAGGATATCATCTAATATAAGTTTAATCTATACGCACTTTGGGTTTAACCCCTCCCCTCTTCAGTTCACGCTACAATAACAGAATAAATCAAATCAGTAACTGCATCGAATAAAACAAACTTCCAAAAACTGTACATAAATTTACTGAATATATTTAGTAAAATCGTTTATAATAAATTTGCGTATAACTCTTTGAAGTCGTAAAACATAAAAATATTTTAACTTTAAACAATGGTATTCAGTAATACAAATTGGATGATGAGACTTTTCAAACTGTCTATTTGCGATTGTAAAATGTAGTGAAAGAAAAAAGTCTTTTATCAGTTTATGGTAAAGAGTAAAACCGGTGGGCTTTAAATAATTTTTTAAACAGAATAAAAATTTACTTAAATTTATATCAGAAACAAAAAAACAAAAAGAAACAAAAAAATGATATAAAAATTTTATTAAATATATTATATNTTAGATGTAAAGTACATAAAGTATCTCAATAAATAATTTTCTACATAATAACTTTATAAGTAATGAATCAATTGATACAAGAGATCACAGCAAATATATCATGTGACAAATGTCGGTCATTGCAAGTAATCTTCATATATAGGCCTATATTATATTACAAGTGTATGCACGTAAAATATCTGTAAATTTTAAATATTTGTGTTAATGTTATATGTTTTCTTATTCCTGTTATAAAATATTTTAATCAACTAAAATGCAGTTTACGTTTGAGATATAAATTTTAATAGGCGTTTTATATAATTCGTAATTGTAAAGCATAGATTTTTGAAATAATGTTATAAATAAAAAAAATCACGTTTTTTACGACATGAGAATAATGAAATGCTGTAAACTAAGTGTCATTCGAACATTATAACTATAAATCGAACTACTACTTACTTTTCGGACGTTGTATATAACGAAGGAAAGTAACGAATAAAGCAATATGGCGATCAGTCAAAAAATTACTTTCCGAGGTTTTTACTTTTATGTTCTGCTAGACTTATTACACTATCATTCAGAAACAGAACAAGCTTTAGAAGATAACATTTTATATCTTCTATATCTTTCTGAATGATAGTGTAAGTAAGTCTAGTGGAAAAGAAAAACCGACATAAAGTTCATAAATTGAAGACGAGAAGCGTATTATAAAACAAAAAACTCAAATATTCATTAGACAAGAAATTTCTCAATGAGATTCTTTGAGTCTTCTCTGGTTCTGCCTAGCCTTGAAGCCATTATCCAGCATGTTAAACAACACACAATATGTCTACAATATCAGACATGAAAAAACAAAACAGTTCATACTATCACATCTTATGCACATGGACAACATAAAAGTTTATGCATCCACACAAAATCAACTTTTTCAACTCCTATAAATCACACATTTATATACCAAGGACATACAAATGGAGGTGGGCCTAGACAAATGCAAAACATGTCACATAGAAAAAGGAATCCTGAAGAAAGAATTTTGAAAATCTTGCACTTGAAAATGGGGATGTTCTTGAATCCATGGATAAGGTTAGGTTAGTTAAATGCAAAACACACAGTTAAACACGTGTGTTGTCCCAGTACTCAATTGTTCTTTTGTAGTCATACATTAGAATCATACAGATCTTGAGCAGTTCCAAAAGAAAACAAGGACAACTCTTACTAAACATCATCATCCTAAATCCGCTACAGAAAGATTAACCCGTTTAGGCAAAGATGACAGATGTGGCCTAATTGACATAGTAAACCTTCACTACAAACAAATACAAACACTGCAAGAGTTTTTCTACAAAAAAACAAGAAATTTGCCAATTACATAAAGCAGTAACTTTAGCAGACTCAAATAACACACCACTAAATTTACACTCACAACATATGAACACGACACGAAATATGAAAACAATAGACACCATTAATTAAGCAATAGTGAGTTCAAAAGGTACTTCATGGCCGTAAAAATTTTTGTTGATGTTATTTTTTGCCCGAGCAAGGCCGGGCTCACCTGATAGTTAAAATATAAACATTTCCAAAGAAAATATGAAAACAGCTGGTGCCACAAATATTTCAAATGTTGGTTAACTCGTTTCTTCTTTATTTAGAAAAAAAATTGATATACGCAATCCTCATGTAGTTCTCATTTATTCAATTTTTTTTTTATATTCTCAAAAGAATGTGTCAAAATTCAGAAGTAGAGAGTAATTTTTTATAATCACTTAAATATTTATTCAATTAATTAACAATTTAAAGTAGCATTGCAACGTCAAAAATGACAGATTTCGTCACTTTTCATGGGAAAGGAAAATAAAACTTCTTTTGGGACAGATGTTATCACACATCTCCAACAAACATCTGTCCATTTGTGTCAGAAATATGTCTCGGGAAATGTTACGAATACTAAAATGCGATTGAAGATAACTTTAGGATAAAAGGCAGAGAAATCGTATTCTCAAAGCAGTCATTGATAGTAAGCACAGGCCATAATAACCAGTTGCCGACAATCATAGAGGACTGCCATAAAGACGTCCATACAGAAAGTGAACCTTGGCATAGAAACTAACGAACTCTCTCCAGAATAGTAATCTAAATCTCTCTCGAAAAGTAACTCCATGCATCCAGAAGATATCGAGTAACCAAAGGCAGATGTATTATTTTTTGAACCAATTATAAACACTCTCTCCGTGTTTAGAGGTGTATGTAGTTAGGTCATCGATATAACTATAGATTGTTCTTTTATAAATTTCTTTATTTTACTTATTAAACTTTTGTTACTTATTTGTTAACCTGTCTATTACCTTTGTTAAATACAGACATCCGACTGCCTTCGATCAGAAGTTATCCACGACTTTTCTCCCCATTCGCATTTAAGAATTTCCTACATTTTAAGCCATTCAGTGACCCAGTGACCAGAACTAAAGGTTCTGATGATTAAAGGGTTTCTAAGTCTAATCTCAATCCCCGTATTCTCACAATATATATGTTAATTTATTTACTTCTGGGTGCTATTATTTACAAATAAAGCGTTTTCTACAAGATGATCTTTTATGAACATTTTAATTTTGTTTTTGCTTAATTTTACTCTAAATGTCACTACTTTTAATGTGTCTTCCCATATCTTACAATGGAATAGAATGAGGCTAGTCACCGATTTTCATCGAACTTGGTGAATATATAGTGCTTCCCAACTGCTTGGCACATGTCAGTCGTTCGGGATGCACTATAAACTCTCAATGTTTGATCGAAATCGGTGACACAACTTGATGCCGTCCCAATTTTGGAATCTAAGTAAAATTTGAATTTAAAAAAAATTATCATCTACATCTGCAGCCTTAAATATTAGAACAAATTATAAATATATGTATTAATACTTGTTAAATTTTGAAATAAATATAAAATTATATACCTGATGATTTTCTTTCTCAAGAAGACAAAAATATCCATTACTGAGTTTACACTGCTCTGGTGAGAATACGAGAGAAGAAAAGCACTGAAAATTGTTTTAAAAAACCTTCTGAATTATTCAAAGTGTAATTATTATAATTAAATTTATAATTGTATAATAATAATATGTTAATGTCTTATTTATACTACATAATATAATCAATAATAATGCTTAATGGTGCCTTCTACAATGAAGAGTCTGCTTACGATTCGGAGAATAATTTAGATGAACCTTTTCATTGCATGAAGACTTGTATTGTTTCAACGTATCGACTATTAAAAAGTTACTCTATATAATTATACAATACAATCAATTTATAATACAGCAATTACAGTTATCTTCACATTGTTTTTACGCTTGATTGCGCCAATGAGCAGCACCATTCAGTGGTCTGTCTGAAAGCGATCTAATATTAAGTTTCTATTAAATGTAAATGGTTGTAATAATCTTCTAGAATAATTCAGTATTTGAAATGATTTATCAAACATTTATAAAGTTTAAAATTTGTCATAAACGTTGCCATGACCTTCCTTTAGACACTATTACGTTAATATTACACTAAATATAATTTTTTTAATTCTGATCGTCATATAAAAAATTAAATATTTTATAAGAAAATGAAAACTAGTATAGAAGTATTAATTTTAATGAAAAAAATTATATCAATATGAAGATATTTACCTTATAAAGAAAAAAATCTCCATCATTGCAATACCAGAAGTAGAAATTTCTACAGGAATAAAATCGAACAACTCTGGAATATTCTTGTATTTTTCTAAAAAATAACATTTCTAATCAAAAGCAATTTAATACCACGAAACAAGTATTTTTGTTTGAGTGACGATTTTTCCATAGTAAATCAATTATATGTTTTTTATTAGTGTGTAGACAGGAGCATTATTAATATTTTTTTATCCCAATTTCACGGTTATTTTTATTTACTTTTAGATTTTCGCTTGTGAGAACTTTCCGACATTAATATTTATTAGTCTTTAATTATAACAGTAATCGCAGTAATCGGGAGAAGTAAATTCGACGAATATCTCTTATGCAGTTTTTGCAGCGAGCCACAGGGGTATCAACTCTTATTAGTTTACGTTTTTCTCAGTTAATGCGATCATTTTTTTTCAACCTTGTCGATCATAAATAATATCTTGTACAACACTGTGTCCTGGTATAATTTAGTGTTTCCCTTCTAAATACCGCTGGGAATTTTAAACAGTGTTTTCACGAATCTGGCTTTTTCTGTCAACTTTTTCATTATGTCAACATTAAATGTATTTATTAATGGTTTACGTGGTATAAATAGCTGCTGTATACTCTATTTATGACCCTAACCCGAGAAGAAATATGACGGATCGCTCTAAAACATTTTAAACAAGACGTTCCATGAACCAATTACGTGATCAGAAATAAGATATATAATTAGTATATTTTTCTTTTTATAGACTAAGCCAATGATTTATGATTCATTTTATTTTTACAGTAGTATTTATCTATAAAAGACATAAAATATTTATATTAAATTCTTTAATATTCAACTAGATATTAATGTATGTTTGTAATGTATGTACGTATATATAAATATTATTCGAATTTATTAAAATTCAAGCTAATGTTACAAGTGTTATTTGCCTATATGAATAGTGCGCCTCTTGAAGTTTCTATTTTTAATTAAAATTTTGTAGTTTTCTATTCTTACTAATTTAATAATGTATTTCGGAAACGTTTTCTGTACTTTTACGTACATTTACATATTTACAGAAAATTCGCGATATGCAGGCATTGCTAACGTATTTTATACAGAATTAGTTCAACAGAAAAGCTAAACGTTTTATTCAACCTGCTTTAAAAAATTTTAATTCTAATATGAAAGTACAGTAATTTACTATGCTTTTCCATTTTGCAGAGTCGCCAGAAAGTACAGATAATGACGAAATACCTATTGAAGATACTACAGTAATGTAAATTATTATATTAAAATAGATGAGGTATATGAAAATGATCATGTTAAAGGGGCTTTTACTTCATCAGTGTTCAGTGTAATTCTATCTTTTGCATCGTGTTGGCTACATGGCGAGAACTTTCAACACAATTCTGAATCCTCAAACAATGCAATTCTCATATTCCTTTTGCAAAAAGTACATATTTTTTTCATATAATTTTTAATATTTTCGTAAACACCTTTTACTTAGTAAGCAAAAGCACTGATACCGAAATACAAAAAATATTTTCTCAAAAACAGTTAAAATTAAGTCAAAAAAGAGACACAAAAACTTACCTACTGTTTCATTAGCGAGTACAAATAAAATGTGCACATAAATTAAAATACACATTAAAAGAAATTTAATTCCACAGAATGCAGCAGTTCTTTCTCCTATACAATGACAACGAAATTTACGAATTGACTGATACAAAGAAACAAAGATTAAATTCCTTATGGCAGTATCTGAATATAAAATATTTGAAATTAGTTGTAATAGAATTTTGAAAAGTAACTAAAAATTGTCTAAAATTAATAAATATAGTAAATATATTACATTAATTTAATATAACTAAACTAAGCATTGAATTTTGTAAAACTGAAAATTTTTCTAGAAACTATGGATATAATCATAAACTGTATTTTCAGACACAAAGCGTTTTCTAACTAGTTTGAAAAGAAATCAAAAACTAAACTGACTCAGGAATTGAAAAAAGTTCTTTAATACTCTCCAAAAGATTATACTTGAATTATAATATATTTCCTTCGGAGATTTCTTCATTTTAAGCAAAATTTTAGAAAGTCCACTTGTTTCAAGGATGAAGAAATTCGCTATTTATTAACAAAATATTGTCCATGTTATTTAATTAAAAACACTATTTACTTAATTATGACTAATGAACAGGCTTTCTACACACTCAACGTATTTAACTTATCCAAAATGCATTACGGTCATACTGGATCTTATCAATTGTGAGATAAGTAAATCCGAGTCTTTGGTGACAATTGCCAACATTACAATATATATTAATAGTACAATTATTACTAATTATAAGATACAATAATTAATAACATTTCTAATTATCACTAGAAGACTATCTTAAACAACAATACTAAACAAGTCCAGTAAAAATCAGGTTTAGTGTTGTTGTGTTACTGTTTTGTAAGGCCGAAATTAATTTTGATTAAGTTAAAGAAATAAGCTGGCTTTGTAATAAGCCTGTTTATTAGTCATAAGAAACTAAGTAGTTTCTGTAATTTAATTTTAAATAATGTATCTTCTGAGATTTTTGTATCAAATTATTTTCTTTCAAACTTTACTTGAGTAAAAAAAAAAAACAACTACCATTACCCTATTCGTTCAGAGGTAGTTGTATAAAAACAGTAGTTTTACGGCTAAACATAAAATAACCATTCTGACAAACTTTTCATGAAAATCTTACATGATAAATTTCGAAATAAATTTTAGCATGATTAATTTCACTGAAAATAGACAATTTAATGTGAGATATCTCCAAAAATATCTGAGATTAGAATACGAAATAATAACAATACTTTTTTTCACTATTCTTTTTAATATATTTAAAGTAATGATACATTTACTGCATCATGACTTTAAATTCAAAATTCCCGCTTTTACATCATGTAAGTAAGTTATCCATAACTCACGAGAAACTTCAATCACCAGGAAGACCTTTGATATAATTTTTTTAAAGAATAAATTATGATATTAATTTATACACATTTCTGTTCAAACATCGTGTTACTATGCATAAAAAATTTTATTTCGTTTTTTATAATAAAATAAACAACTGTATAATATTATAAAAAGAATAAATTGTAAATAATATTTACGATTTTATTCTGACCTCTTTTACCACTTGAAGAGATAATGCCTAATTCCATCAAAGTTTCGACAAAAGTTGCGAGGACAACCCAACTTGAGAAGAAACCGAAGAACGTACTGTAAAAAATTGCAGGTGGAATGCAAATTTAAAACTTTATTATTATATAATTCGAAAAACACTTGAATGCAGTCGTGTCTGCGGTATCGAATACTTATTTATTTCAAATGTAATTCAATATATTTTCGCAGTAAAATAATCTGTAATTAACATTCAGTTGAAATAATGACGGTATGGTTTAGCAGTTGTTTTTAATTACCGTGATTTCCATCTGATCAGCCACGAGTTATCTTTCTTTACAAGTCAATTTCAAAAGCACAGACACAATATGCAAGATCCGGAATATTTGTGTATCTTAAACTTGAGTTACGAGTTGATCCAACAATTTCTTCTTCGCCTAAATGTTTTTAGTGATTTTATAGGCCTACTTAAACGATTCGTATCGCTTTTGTAATACGAGTTTTACGTAAGTTAGTTTAATTTGAAAACAGTTCAATTAATATAATTTAATGGTCAGTTAATACTGCTGAACATACTTTGAATAACTATGCTTGTAATTGAGATTATTGATGGTAGCATTAACTACAAAAGAATGTCTTCATAAAAATGTTGTGTAATTATTATCTATAACTTTAATCTATATATATATAAATGAATGTATGTCTGTGTGTCTGTCTTATGTCCTTCATGCATTATCACACCGTTTATCCGATTGCCGTGAAACTTGGGGAAGTTGTTTAATATACTCCAGCGAAGGTTTGTGGCATAGTACGATTGCCATGAAACTTTGGAAAGTTTTTTAATTCACTCTCGCAAAGTATATTTATCCTACGATAGATGGCGCGCGTTTACACGAGCATTCGCGCAGTGTGTTCGATCAATTTCAAATTATGAAGACCATTTCCCCTTCTTAAAAAAATATCTCTATATATGCATTTGTTATTTACGATATTTGTAATAATTTTTGTTTAATCACTTTATTTCAACTTTTTTTTGCTAATTATGTATTCGCTCGAATTTCGTTAAAACCTTAACTGTACCCCGAACAACAACCGAAGTT